GGCTGTTCCCCCCCTGTGTATTTAACGTGTAAAGTTATTAAGCATATGGAGCTTTGCAGTGCTCAAGGAACCCTGATCGTTCCCCTTTGGAAGTCAGCCCACTTTCAGCCCATCCTATGTTCAGATGGTTTTCGTTGGAGTACATTTATCCATGACTGGATTATTCTGCCTAACTTTCCGAATTTATTCATTAGAGGAAAAGCTAAGAACTCTATTTTTGGTAGCAAGCCATTGGCATTTGTTTTGTTAGCTCTACGTCTTGACTTTAGCATCATTCCCAGATTAGATTCCGAGTTATCTCGTAAAAGCTTCCTAGTTCCTTGTGTTTGATTCCATTCAGGCTAGAGATTGCAGCTGTTTTTATTATGTGCCGATAAGGCATATTTGCGTGAAGTACTTATTATTTGTTAGTAATTTCAAGTTAAACGTGTTATGCCTCAGAGAGGTATCCAGGAGAGGCCCTAGAGGGGCGATTTATCATATGTATTTTCTTTTTTGTACCCTAGAGGGGTATATTATGTTGACTATGTGCAAATGCCCTAGAGGGGTACATCCACTAGAATAGCATGGTTTTTATTTTTGTATTGTGATACCCAAGAAGTGTGTTGCCTGGAGGGCAAGGGTTTTCCTTACTGAAAAAAGTGAGTTAAATGGAAATTCAGCATTGAGTGCATTGCTGCCTGTCTCATTGATATGTTTTTAGATTTTCTTGGGCCTGGCTGACCAACACGCCCATGCCTCAACCTTTGAGTGTGTTTGGTTGTGTAGTGAAGGCAAAGTATGTAATTTGTGATAATCACTATTGACATAAAGTAATATTTTGCCAACACAGAACGGAGAACTGGGTGGGAGAGTAGTACACAAAGGCTCATGTGCAGTACATTTGTGAAAAGAGACGGTTGAGAAACTTGTGACATTCTACGGTCAGCCTTGCCACTAGCACTTTCCCATGAGGTTCATTTTTATTGTCTAATTAGCGTCATATGATTTGTTTTTTCATTCTGTTGTTTATAGGTCAACCTTAAAACCCCAAAGGTGGTGCCACTGCAGTTACACGGTCCCTATTTTTCCTAACAAGAGGTTTTTGGGGCTTACGTGTCCGGCTTTGGCGCATGTAGGACGTTACTTGATGTATCTCTTGTCCACTTTGTTGTAGTAAAGTAAATATAACATATCTTGGGCCTGGCTGACCAACACGCCCATGCCTCAACCTTGAGTGTGTTTGGCTGTGTAGTGAAGGCAAAATTAGAAGATTCAAATGATCATTGAACTTTTCTTTCCTAATGTAAATCGGAAGAGGTTGTTTATTGTCATATCCAAAGACATTAACGTTGATATTATTCTGTTTTTCAATTTTAATGTAATCATTGATTTTAACTGGAAATTCAACATTAGAATAATTTAAATATTTAACGTATTCTTGATCAATTTTTTTTACTCTTTCTTGATCTTTGTTTTGTGGATTAATATGTCTAATATGACACCGTCTGAAACATTCATTAAACTTATTTTTTATATTTATCAAACCCTTTAATGAGTTTCTCGGCTCTTTTGGAAGCTAGATATATGATTAACCCTTCATTGGTTTATATTTAACAATATTCAAATAGTGATCATCAATTTTATCGATTATCCAGCCAGATCCTTCAGATAACCATTGGCTGATTTTTTTTTCAAAATCTGTTCTTGAGCCATTTTTGTTTATTTAAATCAATGATATTTAGAACAGTCTGAGCTTGACTATTGAAGTAAGCTGTTTTTCTTTTAACATGATGCTTCCCACCAATAATATCAATTTCAACTTCAACATCATCATCATTTTTTGCATTATGAGAAACTTCTTTGACAAAAGTCACTTTCAAGGACTCATAAAATTTAAAATTTTTATTATTTTTCAAGTAACATTCATTAAAATAGTGTTCAATTGCTTGCCTGGTTGTTTGCAATTGAATTAATGGATCATTTTTATTTTTCAAATTAATCTCATAAGTTTTAACAGCATCTTTTAAAGCTTGAGCTTTGGTTGGTAGTCCAATTAGTGATTTATACTTATCATCTAATTTTCGACTCTCTTCATCCAACTCTTGGCTTTTCTTTTCAATATCTTCTACTGATTTATCCATTTGTTGCTCAGTAGCCTTTTTTAATTTTTCAAACTCTAGCCAAAAAAGCTTTGTTCTTTTCTGTTTTTTTTGTTTTTGAGTTAATTTAGGTTTGGGAACACTTTTAACAATAACTCTTTGAGGTTAGGACTTGGTTCGCTTTTAACCATAACTTTTAGTTGTTGGTTTTCAGCTGTAAGTAATTTAATTTTCTCAATTAATCGAGTCTGATAATTTATTCAAATTTGATTTATTCATCATTACTATATTATAGTTAGATAATTTATTTTCCAAATTTCTATTTTTCATACTCATTATTCCCATTGTATTAATGTCGATTTTTCTTTAATTGTTAATCAAAAGCTCTGGTTTGCCACTTGGTGAGCCATTTTTGATTTGCAGAAGCCTGGGACAGCCTAATTTATGCTGTTTCTGGCAGGATTTTTTTGATTTCCGGAGGGGTGGCAAGAGTATTTTTTGATCACGAGCCAGCTCCGTGAAGTGTTTCTGGCAGAAAGATTTTTGATTTCTGGAGGGGTTGGAGACATAAAATTTGCTCACGACAGGGCTTAGGACAGAACATCCTCTGAGAGGCCTGAAAATGCATTTTTTGAGTTGGGGCCCGGCGAGGGTATTTTTTTGGTTTGCGGAGGGGTGGAAAGGCCATTTTTTGCATAATGCACTCGTACCCCCATTTTCTAACTACTCCAATCTGAAACTTTTCTCTTGTTGACCCAGTTCTGGAATTTGTTTCGATGACAGAGTCCAACATTATTTACTTTAGGAAAATGATGAACTTTATATGGGGGTATTTAGGGTCTCGATAGACAAGAATTAGTTTTTTGATATAAATTTTATTTGGTCGATACTAGAAGCTGACTCAGTTCAGTCAGCGATGCAAGAGCCATCAGTTCAACCCAGAGTTCTTACCTACCGTGTTTATAGAGTTGTAACTATGTTAACAACTTTAAATCCATAGGAACGCTTGAAAAGTTAATGCTTAGTGTAACTGTCAATAACTACAAATCGGTATGAAAGTGATAATTTTGCAGCTAAAGACAAGTGATAAAGTTACCTTTCGGTTGGAAAGAATCTTTAGTTTCCTGTGACATGATGCTGAATTAAAACTGGTATTAACTGTACATCAGCAATTCCAAAACGGGGGGGCACACAGGCACTATTTCAATGCAGACTTACAGTGTAACACAGTGAATACGTGGTCTTTTCTCCGAAAGCTATTCTCAAAACTATAGGTACCTGGGGACACATTACTGATCATGGCTTACTCTTACGCCCCCCTAACAAGCGCAAAATTGGGATTTTCAACCTCAAAACTTTTAGTTGGAAATTATTCGCAGTGTTCAACTTAGTGTACACACCAAGTTTGGCGCTCTTAGACCATCATTAAGGGGTCTCTGTCCCTAAGGCAACAACACCGAGCATGGGCTCTCATTTTATGCACGGACCTAAGATTTTCACATTTTCAAAACTTTTAGCGGGAAACTACTGGCCACCTGCGGCTGCATGTAGGCATCAAGTTTGGCACTCTTAAACCATCCTTAAGGGGTTCCTGTCCTCTAGGAACCCAAAACCGGGCATCAGCTCTCGGCTAATCTATGGGCACCCCTAAGATTTTTACAATTTTCAAAACTTTTTGCTGAAAACTATTGGCCATCTTTAGCTGCGTGCAGGCGCCAAGTTTGGCGCTCAAATTCCATTGTAAGATTTTCACCATTTTTAAAACTTTTTGCACAAGACTATTAACAATGTACAGCTGCGTGCAGGCGCCAAGTTTGGCGCTCTGAAACTATTGTTAATGGGTCCATGTCCCCTAGGCAATAACACCGGGCGTCGGCTCCCTTTCTATACACAGACCTAACACTCACCATTTTCAGAACCTTTTGCAGGAGACTATTGGCCACCTACAGCTGCATGCAGGCGCCAAGCTTGGCGCTCTGAAACTATTGTTAAGGGGTTCCTGTCCCCTAGGCAACGAGACAGGGCGTTGGCTCCCCTTCTATGCACGGACCTAAGATTTTCATCATTTTCAAAACTTTTTGCAAGAAACTAGTGACCATCCTCAGCTGCATGCAGGTGCCAAGTTTGGTGCTCTCAAATTATCGTAAAATGGTGCCTGTCCTCTAGAAACCGAAAACCGGGCATCAGCTGTCCGCTATTCTATTGGCGCCTCGAATATTTTCACCATTTTTAAAACTTTTTATAGGAAACTATTAGCCACGTACAGCTGCGTGCAGGCGCCAAGTTTGGCGCTCTGAAACTATTGTTAAGGGGTCCCTGTCCCCTAGGCAACGACACCGGGGATTGGCTCCCTTTCTATGCACGGACCTAAAATTTTTACTATTTTCAAAACTTTTTGGAGAAAACTATTGCCCACCTACAGCTGCGTGCAGGTGCCAAGTTTGAGGCTCTGAAACTATTGTTAAGGGGTCCCTGTCCCCGAGGCAATGATACCAGGCATCAGCTCCTCCACTATGCACAGAACTAAGATTTCTACCATTTTCAAAACCTTTTTGGAGGAAACTATTGGCCCCTCTCAGCTGCATGCAGGTGTTACGTTTGGCACTCTCAAACTATTGCTAAGGGGTTCCTGTCCTCTAGGAACCTAAAACCGTGCATCAGCTCTTCGCTATTCAATGGGCACCCCTAAGATTTTTACAATTTTCAAAACTTTCTGCAGAAAACTAT